GTTATATGGGTTTTGGGTGTTTAATTTTTTAAGGGTTCTTAGGGGTATTACGGGTTCGGGTTAATTCGGGTGCAAAGCCCTGGTAATATCAGAAGAGATCTCGAAGCTCCCCAAAACCGGGGATCTTTGTGAATTTTACACACAATACTCCCAATAATTGCACCACTGGAAGGGAATCATTAAGATTTAATTTGCAAGCAACATGGTAAGAGATGATGGCCAGTGCGTAATCGGTTAAATTTGATTACGAGGGATCTGGAAAAAGTGAGATCGTTGAACCATACTTTGTCTAGTATAACAGGAACTACAGATTTAAATCTAGAGGCAAAATTCGCGGGTAACTTGTTCAAGTAGGTAGACCATAGTAAGAAAACATGGCGTCGAAGAATCAGTTTGAGTTATATTACTTATATTGTTCTTTAGTCGTAAATTATTTCTTTTATTAATTTAATAAATACAAAATAAGAAGTTACATAAAACCCCATATTCTTAAGTAGTCTCCTTATAGCAGTGGTTCTCAACCTTTTTTTTTTCACGGAATATCATTATACATCACAAGTTTTCGCGGCACACTCATGCACTTGACAACATCAAATACTTTGGCTACGCGTTAAGATATCCAGTTGGGTTAGAACCGTACAGTTTATCTACATATGTATCGTATTATCTGCACAATTAATTAATTGATATTTAGCTGTCATAATTTCATCAATCGGTATTTTCAAATATCAGACATTTTTCACGGCACACCTAGTTGATCTCGCGGCACACGGATTGAGAACCACTGCCTTATAGTTTAAGCTTAGCTATAGTTATAGGTTCAAAAATATTTTGTAGAGGGATGAGGGCGCTAAAAATGATTTTTGGCACCGGGCGCTAATTATACTAGGCACAGTACTGCCTATATCCATTTGAAAAAATGTCAATGGATGTCTTCTAAATGTTAATAAAAACAGATTTTCATAACAGCATAGAATTATTTATATACAGTCGATTTAGTAATATAGTGTGGTGGTGTGGGAACAGAATAAAATCTCTTCTGTAGTGTGGGTATTTATTTTTCCCCGAAATTCTGACGACAACGATATCCGATAAAAATAATATTAATAATTAGGGCAAAGAAGTTATAGGAGGTAAAATTGGAAAAATATGCACATAAAAAATTGAAAATATGCATTCAAATTCATTAAATATGCAAGATAATATGCACAAAAAAATTAAATTATATTTTAGTAAAACAAAAAAATTAGATATAAAAGAAATATAAAAATTATTGCATTGCACAGTTAATTTTATTTTAAATATTTCCTACGTCGAATGATCGCCAATTGTTAGCATGGTTTTCTTCAACCTCGAATTTTGAATTTATTCTTAAAATAAATATTAAATTAATGAATACAAAAATAGTTTTAAAATAACTTTTTTCTCACCTGATAAATTATTGCACAACTAATGTTTTTTCAATATTTTCTACGTCAAATTATCGCCGATTGTCAGCCAGTATGGTTTTGTACTGAAAAGAACTTCTTTCGACGTCTGTTGATGTTACTGGTGCATATTTATAAAATGTTAAATCATTTCCCGTTAGGTCTTCTGGTAAACCATTCATTAATGAACTTTCTCCATTCAAATGTTTTAAAATTTTTAATATTATTGCAAACCCATCAATTTTTTCTAAAACTTGGTTAAATTTTGTATTTACTTTCATTCCAACGTCACGCGCAACTTCTTCCAATTTATTTTTTGTGAACATTACTGTTGTTACTGAATCAGTTAATGTATTCCTTGCGATTCTAATTTAGTTATAGTTGATGGTAAAAACCCATAATTTGAATGTATAAAAGTCAAATTTGGTTCCATTGAAATTTCATTTAGAAGGGCTTGAGATTCTTTTATATATACAGTATCATTAGAATCAAAATGTTGCATAACATCTCGTACTTACTTAAAATATTGGCAGTAATAAGAAGTATTTTAAATCCAAGAAACCCAACGTGTAAGTACAGGTTCGGGAGGAAGAGGGACTCCGGGAGCTTCTGTCTTAAAAAATAAAGTACGCGAAGATCCTTTTAAAAATAATTGCTTTCCTTTTGCTACTAATTTATCAACTCTAGGAAATGACTCCGAATATTTTCTGCTAATCTATGTAATCCGTGTGCTATACAAGTAATATGGATCATCTTGGAGTACAAAGCCTTGATAGTTGTACCTGCTTTCTTCATGTATGGCGCAGCATCGCTTAAAAATAGGAGGACATCATCATGACGAACACCGTCGGGCCACAGGAGAAACATTGAAGTGTCAAAAAGTTTGAAATTGGCTTTTTCTAAAACTTCGGTATTTAGTAAATATACTTTTTCGGGTCTATCCTTTAGTAGAGTTCCGATTATTACGTTTGCAATATATCTCCCTTGGACATCTGTCGTTTCATCTATAGAAACCCATATTTTATTTCCTACAACGTCTTTTTTAATTTGATCAATAGCTTCTAAATAGCAATCGTTTTTATAAGTTTTCCTCAACGTAGATACACTTGGGATGTCACTTAGAATATATTTTTAAAGGAACGATCGGAATTGAACATTAGAAATTTTATGTAAAGGAATGTTTGCACATATCATAGCCTTGCATAAATCATGTGAAAAAACAGATTTTTTTGTTTGACGGCTGTAATATAAATTGTTGTTTATTTTCTACAGGGTTATTTTGACAAGCTAATAATCGTTCGTTTTTATTTGTTTTTATATGTTGAGTTACTGTAAATTTTTTATCAGCACTTACTTTAACTTCGCAAATTTTACAATAAAGCATAGTACCATCGGTAGTAAATGTATCTTCACCAAACTGTTTCACATACTTGTTAAATATATTTGCATTTATTTTTGGCATTGTCTAAAATGTTAGCAAAAATGTTAAAAGTAAAATGTAAGCATGGAAAACACAACAAACGGCACGCAGTTTCGTATCGAACGACGAACAGTGAACTCTGGACACTTAATAATTTTGATATAAAATTTGATATAGATACTTAAATGCCAATTACTTCGACGTAGGTAAAACTAATAAGTTATAATAATAAAGATAAGTTATCTTCGATAACATCCGAATGCCCACCTAAAATATGTGGGTACCTATAATATAGTACATAGTCTACATGGGAATCGGGTGGTGTACAATGTTACTATATAGTATATAAAATATAATAATACCATACAGTTTTTATGTAGAATATGCACGAAATATGCAATTTTTTTTAAATCTTCAAAATATGCAAAAAAAATTTTAGATTTCAACTGTGGGGCTTATATTTATATCTTGGTTTGCTATAAAATAGAGGCCCAGAATAAAACATGCAAATCCTATAACTTCTTTGCCCTATTAATAACCATAGTTGCTTTATATAATATGAGTATGACCCATAGTCGACCTTACATTTTTTTAACGTAGCAACGCGGGCTCTGGGCGGACTATACCAACGTGTTAAGTATAATATTATCAACAACTATTTTCTGTACAATTGTTTTTATTTATGAGTCATTATAAATGACTATAAATTATAATGAACAAAATAGATATAACAATAATATAAAAATATTAACGAAATGCACACATTATTTTACAATTATTTTTCGTAAATATAAAGTAATTTACTTTCCAATTTTTTTTCATTCGTTTGATGTTTTTTAATGAAACTCTACAGAATTTGCCGCCCTAGGCTGCTGCCTACAGTGCCTAATGGTAAATCCACCACTAGTGGTGTGGTGAACATGAGTCCAAAACGGACAATTGTCCGTATCAAATATTGAAGGGATGGTAATGACTCTTAGCACTAATATTTGTTACACAATATATTTTGTTCTATAAATTATTATTAGGTATAGTAAACTAGGCCAATTATCAGTTGTTCAGTTATTACTTGTAAAAATGTACCTAGACGTTCTACAGAGACATTATCAATTTTTAATGAGTGGATGGGTACCAAAAATGCACGTTTGCCCTTGCACCACTCTTGCTACATCATTACTAATGGATATCCTACTGATAAGCAAATCAAACAGACAATATTCAACTATGTGTCACATCGCCAGGAAGTTGCCTCGTGTGAAAACTTACTTATAAGTAATCTTAAGGTCAGTGCATTTTTTAACTAGTTAACTAGGCGACACAAATGTCGCCCAGTGATTATACTCTATCGACAATATTTTGAAAGATTAATAATGCGTAACAAACGTGTAATACTATAATCGTACTATGATATTACATTGACATTTTGAGAAAAATATTTTTTGTCACCCAGTGAAAATTCCTTATAAAATGCACTGCTTAAGTACTATTAAGTAGTATGCTTATTTTATTAAAGACCAAAAGTAAATGAAACTTATTTCTACATACACAAATGTACTGATTAATTAAAAAAATTGTCACAAGAATAAAGATTTGGTCATAATATTTATTCAGACTCTTCTATGACATGACATTGAAGTACAATTTATTTCGAGTGATACTGTATTGTAGAGCTCTTAAAACACGTGTCACGGAATTCACGTGTACACGTGAAATACGTGTTTATCCAAGTATAAATCCATTTTTATAATGATGAAAATTAGTAATTTTATGTTATACACTTGAAGTTTTAATAAAATATTATTAGTACAGTATTAAGTTAAGGATATACGTTTTTATTTTGAATTTTACACGTGTATTAAGAGCTCTACTGTATTGTAATAAAGTAACTAATAGTTTAAATAGTGATTTATTAATTATACATTTTGATTGCAATATGTATATTAGAGCAAAATAAAAAACAAGAATAAGTTTGATGATAAAAATTGGTTTGTTTAGAAATTAAAATTGTATTATCTAAATTATTTATTTAGGTACATTAAGTAACTTCTAAGCAAAGGGCAAATAGCAAAAAAGGGCTTAAATGGCCTGTAATGCTACTATACTGTAACTGTTTTATGTCTGAAGAAAACCTTAAATTAAACTAACACGAATAATAAAATATATATTGACAAATTGTTATTTATTAAATAATATTGTAACATTACAAAAAATAGAACAGCTCAGTCTTTGTTGGTATAAAATAAAATAAAATTTACATTCTTCCTCTACTCCTATTTATACAAGCTATTCCCTTTCTTATTCCTATTGGTATTTTACATTTAGGCGGAGGAGATTTTGGTCTGAGTACTTCAATACGATCAGTACATCCAGTTGTTAATTGACCTTTGCTAAAATATCCATTATACATATCAGTGTTGAAATTAGAATTAGTTAATTCATTTCCTAAAGTTAACCATCCTGGACGAATAGTACTGTCACGACCAAACAAATGTAATCTAAAAAAAAAAAAAATTAAATAAACATAAAATGTAAAACAGCACAACTGCCAAACAAATATTGGTGTAATGCAATACCTTCTTTTTCCAAGACAAAAGTGTTCAATGATATGAAATATTTCAACAGGTTTTTCAATTGAACCATGTTTATTTTCTTCACTAATTATTAAATCAATATCAACATTAGCATGAATATAATCTCCATCTGTAGATCTGCGAACTGTTCCTTTAATGCCCATTAAACAATGTTCCTGAAATAATAGAATTGGATAATATATAATAGAACAATGATATTAACAACTAATAAACAACCTTAGTGCGTTGAAAAACAGCATTTGGTTCTAAATTTTTTGAATGTCCAGGATTTTTAGAATTTGTTCGGATCCAACAAATATCTTCACATCGTCTAAAACCCCAACGTCGTAAACAATCACGACCTTTATCCAACCCATCAGATGAACCACACCAGAGAAAAATAAAACTACGATTTGCAGCTAATTCACCCAATTCTAGGTCCATTATCTGTAAAAAAATATAAAAACTTAAAAATGTGTACATAAAATAATAATACATCATAAATGCTCATTGAGATAAAAAAAAAAAAATGTCAAAAATAATTTAACATTTTTCCATTTTTCATAAGATACATTTTTAAATTTTGACAGTTAATTAGAATACTCGTTATATAAAGGTATTTATGTATATTTCTCATAACACTTAATGGACCAAAAAAAATTACCATTACATAGAAGTAACTGTAAAACGGAAGTTTAATTTTGTTATATAAATGTTAAAAAACTTACTTGTTTCCAATTCCATAATTTTGTATTGGTTACACCAAAGGTTCTTTGATATTCTTCAAGTGGAGGTTCAACAAGGATGACATCAAATTTAATATTTAATGATTTTAAATTGTATGTACTAAGGTCACATTTCAGAAACATTGGAGGAGTAGCAGTTTGTTGTATCAGTTCATCCTATAGATACATATAAAACATAAAGTAAAAGAGTTTAAAAATAATTATATTGAACGCTAAATATTAAGTTAAAAGAAGGATAAATAGTTAAAATAATAATCAAAAACTAATTGTAACTGTTTTAAAGCATTATTATTAATACATTTCATGGTGTAAATTTGTAAACTAATATAAACTATTTAGGTAATAAATACATAATTAAATTCATATTTTATAACATACAATTTTTTTTTTTTTAAATAACTATTTAAAACAAATAATAAATTTACCTTCAAACGAATTAATTCTCTGAGTTTAGGGTATTCTTCAAATCGGTCAGTAAGACCAACATCTCTAATAAAATTTTGAGGACGTTGACCAGTATCAACAAAATGTTGACAATAGTCATTGTGTGGATTAGATGATTGTGTACCTTTGAGAAATGTTGATGAATCATTGTATGTATGTTCTGGACTTTTTGGTTGAATATCAATTTTATTTATACGAAATGAATTCATGGTTGTTTGTTCCTTGTGTGTGTTCAATGCACGACGAAGTTGTTGAACGTCTGAAAAACCTAACTGTAAACAAAGTATAATTTATAATTGAAATATAAATTTAAGAACTGTAAATTTACATTTATAATTCTTTACCATTTTAGCCAATAATTTTTTCCTTATTTGAGATTGTTCTTTTAACATTTTAAATGTTTCAGTCATACTTGAAAATTCTATTTTGCATTCAATTGAATTATAGCTTCAACCATGTATTCAATAAATTATTAAATTATTACAATTTAAATTGTAAAAATTAATTTAAAAAAATAATTTCAGACTCTAGTGATAAGATATTTTACTATCAATTTATCACGTGTTCTTCACTATTTATCATAGAAATCATTTGTTAAATTGCCAACCTAATTTGAAATTTAAATTTTGAAATCTAAAAAATTATACTCAAAGTATATTTCCTTAAAATTAATGCTTGTTTTAAATAATTTAATTTTATAAATTTTTTAAATTATTTTTATAAAATAAATATAAGTAGGTAATATGAATTATCCGTTTTATTTAATAATTTGATAAGTATACTTCACTTCACGTGTTTATCACGAACACACTGTAATTTTTATTTTTTTTTAATAAATAAACAAAATATAATTTTATTCTTGCTTAAAATAAGTAATTACCAATTGTCACATTACCAAGTTAACGTTTGTTCGTAATATTTTTTTAATTTATTAAATCTCATTATTTGATTTTTAATTGTTAATTTGTTCCTTTTAATTTTATTGCTTGTATTTGAGTGTTATTGCAATGAACGGCGAGTGCAAGTTGGATTACCGCGAAGCGGATATTACCCATGCTGAACGAATGAAAGAAGAAGCGAATATTCATTTTTCTGCTAAACGTTATGCTGAAGCTATTGATTGTTACTCTAAAGCTATTACAATGTGTGAAAGTTCATCTACAAAACCGCAAAACTTTGCGGCTTATTATGCAAATCGTAGCTTTGCTCATTCCAAGACTGAAGCATACGGTTACGCCTTAGCTGATGCATCTAAAGCTATACAACTTGATCCCAAATACTTAAAAGGATATTATCGAAGAGCAACAGCGTACATGTCACTTGGTAAATTTAAGGAAGCATTGAGAGATTATGAAGTGGTTGTAAAGGCGTTACCCAACGACAAGGATGCTAATCGTAAATATACGGAATGTAATAAAATGGTTAAAAGACTGGCCTTTGAAAAAGCTATATCTGTAGAAGACTCTAAAAGCGTTTCAGAACAAATAGATATTGAATCTATGTCCATTGAAGATGATTATAATGGTCCATGTTTAGAGAATGATAAAGTCACTCTAGATTTCATGAAGGAACTTATTAAAACTTACAGAGAACAGGGTAAGTTACATAAAAAATATGCCTACAAAATATTGTTAGATGTTAAAAAATATTTAGAAAAACAACCTACTCTCGTTCATATAAACATTAAGGCTGATGAGAAATTTACTGTGTGTGGCGATATTCATGGTCAATATTATGATTTATTGAATATATTTGAATTGAATGGATTACCTTCAGACACAAATCCATATTTGTTCAATGGTGATTTTGTTGATCGAGGATCATTTTCAGTTGAATGTATTTTTACTTTGTTTGGATTTAAACTTCTTTTCCCTGATAAATTCTTTATGTCTCGTGGAAACCATGAAAGTGTAACTATGAATAGAATGTATGGATTTGAAGGTGAAGTTAAGTCTAAATATTCAGTTGAAATGGCTAACCTCTTTACAGAAGTATATAATTGGCTTCCACTTGCACATTGCATCAACAAACGTGTCTTAGTTATGCATGGTGGTTTGTTTTCAAAAGATGATGTTACATTGAAAGATATTGAAAATATTTACCGAAATAGGCAACCACCAGAAGAAGGACTAATGTGTGATATATTATGGTCAGATCCTCAAGACGCTCCAGGACGTTCTTCGAGTAAACGTGGTGTTGGAGTACAATTTGGGCCAGATGTCACCAAAAAATTTATCGAACTGAACAACTTGGATTACATTATTCGTAGTCATGAAGTTAAAGCTAACGGGTATGAAGAAGCACATGATTCCAAATGTATAACTGTGTTTTCTGCTCCAAATTATTGTGATACAATGGGTAACAAAGGAGCTTTTATCACACTTGAAGGACATTGTCTTAAGCCAAAGTTTACTACTTATACAGCTGTACCACATCCACCAGTGAAGCCTTTAATGTATGCAAACTCTTTAGTAAACTTGTTTTGTTAGCCAAATGAAATTTTTTTTGTAATTTATATACAAGTTATTCTTGTTGATTTGTTTGCCTTACACAAAATAAAATACATTTTTGTAATTATTTTTATTTTTAATCAAAAGAGGTTTAAGTAGGTTTAAAAATACATAATTATAAGAAATTGTTTTATTGTTGACGCACGACTGAACGGCTTCGATTTGGGGTATTTGGTATTTTATAATATCGCTGCAAAATGGCAGTCAGTCTGAATCCGTTTCGGAAAGTTGAAGATCTTCATCTAAAATACGTCCTGGATCTACAACACAATCTTTAAAGCCTAAAGTAAAACAATAATCATAAATTAATTCATTTAAAATGAATATTTGTTGTTTATAAATACCATTTGTGTTTGGAGAATTAAAAAGAGGTGAAGGATGTTTTTCTACATTCTTTTGAGAAGGAGGAGGTGTTGTTGAGTCATCACTATCACTGTCAGATGAACTACTTGATCCTGAATCACTAGAAGATTCACTAAGTTCTAAACTTCTAGCAGCAGGGACTAATTCATCATAGGACTGTAAAATTAAAAAAAGTATATATTAAAAATGTGTAATATTGAAATTTTGTTTATAAATTTTCCAATTTATAAAAAATATATCATTAATGAATAAATCAATTATATAGTGTATTGGTAATTAATGATGGCTAAGTATAATTATTGAACTGTTTATTAGAAATTTGCTTAATACATGATTTACATTTTTTTTAACCTAACTGAATAATATATGATCTACGTTATAACATAATTATAATAAAGGATAAGATTAAATAAAATAAAATTTGATTCTTCCTTTCATTAGTGCCATAAGTACTTTTATTATAACTAATTTTAACAATACAATAAAATAGAATATGAATTATTGGTTATAATGACTAAAATCATAAATATTTAAGAGACAAATCATTTTAAGGAATAAAATTATGAATACAACATTCAAAGTTATTTAAAATTATGTTTCTAAAAATTGTAGATGCATTTTAAAAATTTAAGTTATATTGTTTTTTATTACACTTTTTTAGTTGCATTTAAATGTAATATTCTTAAATTAAATTTTATGTTAATATAAAAATTGATTGTACATAAATAATGGATTAAATCAAGTATTGGTTGTTAAAAACTTATTATGTATTTTAACAAATTAAACATAATTTTAAATGGTAATAGTTTATAATATAGTAAGGAATACTACTCAAAATATTTCATAATAATTAAATACATCATTAACATAGATTATTTACTTGATATATTCTTATTATACAAACTTATTAATTAATGATAAAAAAAATGCTAAGTATATTTTAGATGATACGAGTTATTACAGTAGTAAACATTTTTTATAATAAAAAAAAATATATATATATATATAAAATTATTTAACAATTCAATTTATTTTTCTTGTTGTTAATATTATACTAAGATTTATTTAGCCTATACCAATATCATTAACACTCATAAAAATTATATTTTAATTTTAATATATAAAATTGCAATACTTTGATAAATTATGAATGTTAATAAACAGTAAATAAAATAATATAAAAAAGACAAATATTTTTTTCTTTTAATAATTAATTATATTTAATTGTTAAGTATCATAACATTTTAATTTGTAAAACCCAATGATTAATAATACTTTTTTACAATTTAAAGTGAGTTTAAAGATTTTTAAGTTAATAAATCATGAAAAATTCCATTAAAACTAATTTTGGAGAAAATATATAAGCATTAAGCTATATTAACTAATAAAAAATATATTTTTCAACTAATATTTTTTTTTTTTAAAGAAAAATAAGAAAAAATTATTTGTAAAAAATAAAACATATTATTGGATAAGTTAGCCTATGAAAAATAAAAACAGTATAATAAAAACTTACTTCTGTTTTACTTTCTGTTTTAATTTCCGTTTTTATATCAGACAATGAAAAACTGGGATGTGCTTGGGAATCAAACCCAGTCATTGAGCAATCATCATCATTCAGTAACGGAAGACTGGAAGACATTGGAGATTCCGACCTGTAACAAAACAATATTTTTAATTAATTAAATAAATATTAAATGAAGTTTGATAACTTTATATTTATTAAAATATTACTGATGTTAAAAAAAATTAACATAATATGCTTATCATAATTACATAAAAAATTGTGGTGATTTATTCATATGTTGAGCATTTGGTGGTGATAAATTTGCCAATTTAGGTGACAGAGGAGCTTTCATGGGAGACTTTTTAACTTGTTTTTTTTGTTGAACTTTCCCTTTTAATCTTTTATCTACAGTAGCTGTCCTATTTTTTTCTGACAAAACTGGATTATTCGGTAATATAGATTTTTGTGGTTTTTCGACTGCATTTCTGTACATTTTGTAAATTCATATAAGTTATAGTATATTACACTTTTAAAAAAATTAAATGATAATTACCTAGTTGATTTGAGTTGTACATTAGTAGTAAGTTTTTCTAATGTAATTTCTCCAGTCGTATGGTCTATAATAAGAACACATTCTTTTGTGTAATCTTTGTGTGACCCTTTATATACAGTATGTGCAGTACCAGCACCGTCAAAGTTAGGTACAGTAACTGTGACTTCACGATTTGATGAACTAATATCAACACTAGCTGGTTTATTTATATCTACACTTGCAGGTTTAAAATCATCTGAAAATATTGGTTAGAAATGAAAATTTGTAAATAACACAAATTATCAAACAAGTTTTTAAAAAATAAAAATATGATTTTTTATCAAAAATTGTATGATTATTATTTAAGTAATTAATACATAGTACAAAAAA